AAACGTCATTCTCAGTACTACGAGTTCCTGAGAGTCCTATCAGACAAGGGCTTCGCACCGCCGCCGTATGGCCTCCACCTGGTATCCTCAACTACAGTAGTTCTTTGATCAGTTGGTAGCTTATGACCGAGTTAGTTTCCAAGAGAAGTAATTCTTTCGCGAATGCCTCACGGATTTTCATTGGGCCTCGCCAGTTGTGTGGGCGGAAGGGGCCTGCCATGCCTCCCTCCTAGGCGCCATTCTACGTTCCAGTACGATAAAGAGAAAGAAGGCACCATGGTAAGCCTGACCCAGCCCATAAGGTCTATACGGAAACTGTGCCTCAAGTAGACCCACTTTTACTTTTAGCATCGCTCCATCGTTACGGATCGCCAACGGGCCGTTGCTGCTCTTCTGTTTCTACGGTCTAGATTTCCTGCTAGGAAATGGTGTCTAGTTCTTGTCGATGTTACGCTAGAGGAGTTAGAGGAGAACAGATCAAAACATATCGTAAAAGTAAGTTAGTAAGTTCCAAAACAGTCATCCACACGACGAAGTTCGGCTTGGTGGGGCATTTTTCTGGCTTGCATCGATCAGTGCCGACGCATCCTGAACCGAAAGTTTCTGTGAAGTCTGCAATATCACCCTTGACAAAATTATACAGGTCTCACCAAGGTAGGACGTGTAAATTCACAGGAACTAACAAAGAAAAGGTAGAGAAAATACAAAATGCCCATCCCAAGCCGAACAGCGCCATTTACAGAATGATGTCTCATGTTTAACTCACCTACTTGTGTTTGAGGCTGCTGCTCCGGCACGTTCTGTCTTAGACGAGTCACTGGCCTGTGTGCTGTGGTTTGCTCTCCGGGGAGTTGGCAAGGATTACGATAGCGGAGACGAAATTCGGTGAGCTTCCCTTAATTCGTCTTCTACAAAACATACGTACATTCCCTCGAAATCCGTGTTATATAGGTCCGATGCCCATGTTTATTTCGTTGGCAGTGGTGCTGATGAGCTCTTCGCTGGTTATGCACGTCATCGAACACGGTTTGAGCGCGATGGTGCTGATTCTGTGCCAGAGGTGTGTATAGTCGTTTCCCCTGCGACAATAGGGCTCGCCAAGTGGGCTGGGTTTGGCACGGCGCCAGCCTGTTTCACCGATTTTTGTCGCTCGTCCGCTTCAACAAATGGTGGAATGGCGCCGCGCTGAACTCAGCCTGCTGACACGCCCGGCGTCTCCAGCAAGAACGACGATGTTGAAGTATACCCCAAGTGTGATTTTGCTGTTTCAAGACCGTAAAACCCTTATGTTACCGCTCTCTCAGGAATGTGAAGCAGAGCTTTGCCGGCTTGGTAGCCGCAATGGTGGACGAGATGCTAGAGTGGCTGCAGTGCTGAGGAAAGAGTTGAGGTATTTTTTTCCACACAGCCTTAGGATGCAAAATTTGGGTTGAGGAATCTTTCGCCAGATGCTCCCCCAACCTAGATTTTAGTGGAATTCACAGTTACACGTAAAGAGTGCTCAAGAGCTTGAAGACAAACTGTACATCAACTCCGACGACGTTCTTTACCATGCGCGAGACGGAGGTGAGGGGGGGAGCGCCAGCTGCAGTAGCATGTCCCTTTCTCAGCTGAAAAAAGTGCATGGGATCGGGCTGGAGGGAGTAACACCCGGGCGTCATCTCCCCACTATCTCGCACCCTTTCTCTCAATCTACAGCACTTGCTCGATACGAGTCCTGGCTGCGATACACACTCAGCCAACTTTTGGCTATTTGTTCTAGGGCATTCTGTCCCGTGCACAGCTCCGGGGCGAGTAATGAAGACATACACCCGAATATCAGTACCTCCAGCTCCGTTTCGGTTCACTTTACAGCAGGAAGGCGCCATCCTACTGGCAGTTCGAAACCCTTTACCCACACATGGCAAGGAGGCCACCGAATAGTACCACGAACATGAGAATACGAGGATTTTGAGGGTGGGGGGATCTGGGGGGGTGTGTTTTTCTCAAAGCACAGTCACACCGTTCTATAGCAGATAGGTGCCTTCCTCTCGGCGTCCCTCTCTAGAAAGGGGGACACGTCATACATGAGAAGGAAATCGCTAACGAATCAGCGTGAATGCCTTTGGATTAGAATTACTGACCGTGCCAATCTCGGAAGCAGCCGCACAGGACCCACTTTCATCCCGCTGTATTTGAATTTTTAACTGGCTATAGCGCTAGGGGACACTTGCTATCTTCGCTAGTCGCTGTTGAATTGCATCTCTCACCTTGGTAAGACCTGTAGAATCTTGTCAGGTGAAAACAGAGCTGATGCAATTGCATAGCTCTACAGGAATTCACAGGTCTCCACAAGAGACATCGGCAGCAATCGATATGAGCCAACACAATGCCCCCACCAAGCGGAACTCCCTTAGTGGTATTGTACCTATCCTTCTCCTGTCAACAATTAGCACTCGCTATTAATCAGTCATATGGTTGTTTTGTACAAAGCTATTGCAGAGCACCGTTCCTGCACGACGACTTTGTTGCCTGGGTGAATTCGGTGCCAATGCATTTGAAATGGGACCTAACACAGCCACGAGGTGTTGGAGAGAAGATGATCATTAGACAGGTGTGCTTCTTAGTTCCCAAGAGTAGAATGAGCCCCAAAGGGTAAAATCGCCGGTGCTAATGAATCCTGGAAGGGGAGTTCAAAGGAGACCTTACGCAAAACTAAAATCCTTTAATGTGGATAGGGACCTTTGCCTAGGCCTTAAACGATAACGACAATTCGGTACTTACTCAAAAATAGTAGCTGGGGTGCTATATAGTGGGGAAAATGACAAAAAAAGCGAAATTAGACGGCCAAAGCCTTCGAAAAAATCTTTGCTTTGCATTGCACTCACGAGCATTTTTGGACGAGTTTCCCGTTGGCATCATGTCAACGACCTCATTGGTAGTTACGGCCGCAGGCATGTATTGATGTATCCATGTAACAACACTTCATATCAGCTGCGCTTAATAAACCACGCAATAATAGTGCCAGCGTCAATGTGACCTGCGGACATTTGTGGG